TAAAGGCAACAGTGATGAGTCACCCCTGCCCAGTCCTGCAGGCAGATGCAGGGCTTTACACCAGGCGGAACAGCATCAGAGCAGAAGGCTCAGGACTTCCCTCCCTGGCGGTCCAGTGTTTAGGAAACCACCTCCCAATGCACGGGACGTGGGTTCCATCCCCGGTCGGGGAACTAAGATCCCACATGCCATGGGCCAACTAAGCCTGCACACCGCAACTAAGACTCGACACAGCCAGAAATAATAAGTAAATAATTAAAACAAAAAAAAGGCAGGAGGTTCTGTAAGGAACAAGGCACCTGAAAATCCAAACCAGCTGACGGCCATCACCCTATTTCCCTTTACAGTCTTGTGATTTTTACCACGGGTTTCCCAAGAGTTGGAAACTGAGTTTTGTATTTTTTTTTTAAGAAGTATAACTAACTTCTAATACTATATTTGTTTCAGGTGTACAACAATGATTTGCTATTTTTATACCTTACAAAAAGATGACCATGATAAAAAAAAAAAAGATGAGCATGATAAATCTAGGTACCATCTATCAACAGAGAGTTATTACAGTATTACCAATTATATTCCTGATGCTGTACTTTACACCCTGGGACCTGTCTATTTTATAATTGCAAGTCTGTACCTCTCAACCTCCCCCACAACTCCCCTCCCCTCTGGCAACCACCAATGCATTCTCTGCATCTCTGAGTCTGAAACTGAGTCTTAGTCCATGCACAAAATAGTTAAAACTCGATATCCAGATGCCAACTTGGGATGGCAGTTCTCTAGGCCATGAACTGAAGCTCTCTAAATGCCAATGTTTAATCTAGAACGTGGAGAGAACAAAGGACATCCCTGGCGGTCAGGTGGTTAGGATGCTGCACCCCCAATGCAGGGGGCCCAGGGTTCAGTTTCCGGTCAGGGAACTAGATCCCACATATCGCCGAGGAAAATTCTGGATGCTGCAACTAAGACCCATTGCAGCAAAAGAAAGGAAGGAAGGAAAGATAGAAAAGAAGGGGAGGAGGGGAAGGGGGAAGTGAGGAAAGAAAGAAGGGAGGAAGTGGGGAACACAAAACAGGCCACACACAGTGTGGGAGGTAAGGATTAGCTACAACTACTGTTAATACCATGACTATGCTTACTATTTCCACCCAACTGTCCCCCTCGCCTACCTTTCTAATCACCTTCCGAGACGTTTCTTCTTCACGAGTGAAGCGCGAGCGGTAACGTAAATGTTCACTGGCTTTTTTCGTTTCCCTGCAGCCTGGCCACTGCCTCTTGTTGCTGTTTGTTTTCACATCACACTCAGCAATCTCATAAAGTGATTTTTCTACCTTCAGTAGCCAAACCCCAAGATTCCTCTTAACTACGAGCTACTTATGGCGAGCTTTCCTCTCTCCAGCACCTGTTCTCAATGATCTCAATAACCACGGTTCAAAGAGGTGAAGAACGAAGCCAGGGCAACATAGCCAGTTGGTAGCCAAGTCCCGATTAAAATCCAGGTTATGGAAGCCTTGTGAACTGTTGGTGAGAATATAATTTGGTGCAGCCACTATGGGAAAACAGTACGGAGGTTCCTTAAAAAACTAAAAATAGTGCTACCATACGATCCAGCAATCCCACTCCTGCGCATGTATTCAGAAAAAACAATAACATTAAGTTGAAAATATACATGCACCCAATGTTCACAGCAGCATGATTTACAAGTAACAAGACATAGAAACAACCAAGTGCTCATCAACAGATTACTGGATTAAGATGTGGTGATGTATCTACAGTGGAATATTAGCCTTAGAAAAGAATGAAATGCTGCCATTTGCAGCAACGTGGATGGATCTGGAGAATATTATGCTTCATGACAGAAGTCAGACAGAGAAAAGACAAGTACTATACGATATTATGCATATGCAGAATCTAAAAAAGAATAAAAATGAATGTCTGTGCAAAACACAAGCAGACTTACAGATGTAGAAAAAAAACAACTTGTAGTTACTAAAGAGGAGACGAAGGGGGGAGGGACAAATTAGAGGTATGAAATTAACACGTGCAAACTATTATACATAAAATAGATAAGCCACATGGATACACGGTATAGCACAGGAAATTATGCCCATTATATTGAAATAACCTATAATGGAACATAATCTACAAAATACTGAATGATTATGCCGTACACCTGAAACTAACAGACTACTGCAAATCAACTACACTTGGATCAAAAATAATAAAATCCAGGGCGCAATGCAACCACGTCCAGCTGTTTGGTAGCCAAGTCCCGATTAAAATCCAGGTTATGGAAGCCTTGTGAACTGTTGGTGAGAATATAATTTGGTGCAGCCACTATGGGAAAACAGTACGGAGGTTCCTTAAAAAACTAAAAATAGTGCTACCATACGATCCAGCAATCCCACTCCTGCGCATGTATTCAGAAAAAACAATAACATTAAGTTGAAAATATACATGCACCCAATGTTCACAGCAGCATGATTTACAAGTAACAAGACATAGAAACAACCAAGTGCTCATCAACAGATTACTGGATTAAGATGTGGTGATGTATCTACAGTGGAATATTAGCCTTAGAAAAGAATGAAATGCTGCCATTTGCAGCAACGTGGATGGATCTGGAGAATATTATGCTTCATGACAGAAGTCAGACAGAGAAAAGACAAGTACTATACGATATTATGCATATGCAGAATCTAAAAAAGAATAAAAATAAATGTCTATGCAAAACACAAGCAGACTTACAGATGTAGAAAAAAAACAACTTGTAGTTACTAAAGAGGAGACGAAGGGGGGAGGGACAAATTAGAGGTATGAAATTAACACGTGCAAACTATTATACATAAAATAGATAAGCCACATGGATACACGGTATAGCACAGGAAATTATGCCCATTATATTGAAATAACCTATATGGAACATAATCTACAAAATACTGAATGATTATGCCGTACACCTGAAACTAACAGACTACTGCAAATCAACTACACTTGGATCAAAAATAATAAAATCCAGGGCGCAATGCAACCACGTCCAGCTGTTTTGCATTAACTGCAGTGCACTAACTATCCACTCCCAGGGTTCCCAGAGACGATTTTAAATCTGAGGTTAACTTGCCTTGACACCAAACCTTCTTGGAGATGCTTCTCCTACTAGTCAACTTATCATAAAGTATGAGTTAGTTCAAATGCTCAAAGAAGAAACAGTAATTCCAGAAAAATATTAAATATATCTCAAAGTTGGGGGGGCGGTTTTAAGTTTTTTGTTTGCTTTCAGAATTTCCTTAAAGGGGGACGGGGGCTTTCCTTGTGGCTCAGACATTAAAAGAATCTGCCTGCAATGCAGGAGACCCAGGTTGGATCCCTGGGTTTGGAAGATCCCCCTGGAGAAGGGAATGGCTCCCCACTTCAGTATTCTTGCCTGGAGAATCCCATGGACAGAGGAGCCTGGTGGGCTACAGTGCAATGAGTCACAGAGAATCAGATGCAACTGCGTGAGGAACACTTTCACTTCTTAAAGTGGGGACAAAAATAGATCACACCGGCCTCAACCAGTTCTATAAACGTAAGATGTTTTCTATATTATACTACACCAGGTTAAGTAAACCAGGGTAGGTCAACTAAATCATTTATAGTTCCTCATTTTTTGTGAGGAGAGGAAGACAGAAAGACTTTGGGAGGAGAAACGGCATAGTTAACAGGAAGAAGAGGCATGATCAGGGTGACTGTGAGCAGCACTACTTGCAACTCCAGAAGCGATCAAGGACAGAACACAAGTGTCCACCTCTAAGTTTCTAAAGATAAAGGTGTATCTTTTAAATCTGATTGCACAAGGATATATGAAGATGGAAAATTCATTAATGCTGGCTTCTTTGGAGAATCACATACTCCTTAAAACAACAGAAACTAATGAGAAGATGGGTAACAGGATACAACGTGCTGTTTTGTGTAAGAACCAGACGAGTTTACTGAAGTCTAACAATGCGGCCTGTGGGGAAAGACTGAAAGCTTGTATTTCCTCATCTGTAAAGCAGATGAAGCACTGGGAAGAATGAGATGGTACATGGATCATTTATAAAGCACCATTTGGGTTTATTTTTGTTTTTTAAGAATAGCGTGAAATAGTGTAACTAGTAGATTTGACATCAGTGATACAGGTTGAAGTTGAACCTCTGCTAGTTGTCTCATCAGGCACAAATCATTCAAACATGTGTAATGATGTAAGAACTAAAGAGTTAATATATATGTTGTATAGGGGAAGGAAACTTTTAATATAAATAGTTCTATAAATGTAAGATGTTTTCTATTATATTGGACCAGGTTAAGGAAATCAGGGAAGGTTGACTGGATCATTTATAGTTTCTCATTTTTTGTGTGGAGAGGAAGACAGAAAGAGTGATTCTTACAGCAAAAACCCCATTCAGTTAAGAGAAAATCACTGGTCTTTGGGACACCCACATATACTTTGTAAGTGTGCTAGTTGCTCAGTCGTATCTGACTCTTTGTGACCCATGGACTCTAGTCAACCAGGCTCCTCTGTCCGTGGAATTCTCCAGGCAAGAATTCTGGAGTGGGTTGCCATGCCCTTCTCCAAGGGGTCTTCCCAGTCCAGGGATTGAACCCAAGTCTCCCACACTGCAGGCAGATTCTTTACCATCTGAGCCACCATGTAAGCCCAGAGTGACCTACAGATATCAATGAAGTATAATTGTTCTATTGTGTCAGTTAGGATCTCTGTTACCTTACTGACTTTCTGTCTGGAAGGTCTGTCCCCTGATGTCAGTGGGGGACTTACTATATTCAATATCCTGTAATAACCTATAATGGAAAAGAATCTGAAAAAGAATATACTCACACACAAACACAACTGGATCACTTTGCAGTATACATGAAATCTTGTAAATCAACTATATCAAACACAATCAAACAAATCAATCAATCAAACACAATCTTGTAAATCAACTATACGTCAGTAATTTTTCTTTAATGCATACCCTTACCTTTCAAGAGTGGCTGGAAGGTTGGAATCTCTTGCAACTTGATGACATCAGGATCGTTGCTGACGTTCCTTGAGGCCTGGGAGCCTTGAGCTACAACCACAATATCGTCCATCTTGGCTCTATGCTTAGCTGGAGAAGGGGTCACTGAAAATAAAGTTACATCACTCAGGAGTTGCATGTTATTTAGCCACCTCTGTCTCAACAAGGCTGTTTTCACTGTAGTCATTAAAAAGGACATTCTTACACACACAAAAATGCTAACCATACTTACCCTGTGGTGGGGGCTGCGATAGCAGAGATGAATTACAGAGGACCTCTGTTTTCTATGGTATTAAAAAATCCTCAGACTTTACAGGGACATATGCCATCTATTGGAGAAGGAAATGGCAACCCAGTCCAGTATTCTTGCCTGGAGAATTCTATGGACCAAAGAGCCTAGTGGGCTACGGTCCATGGGGTCACAAGGAGTTGGACACGAATAAGCAACTAACACACACGTGCCAACTATAAAAGTGCTTTTGTAACTAAAAGTTTATTCAACACACAAGCAGGTTGTTTTTAATTTTTGTTTCTTTGATCCTCCTTATGTTTGTCCCTATTTCCCAATGAGAAAATAAGGGTACAAAATTTAGCTGTGACTTACTCAAGGTCAACAGTGCTAGAGACAGAGTTAAGAAGGGAATGGGAGGTAAATGGATTACTAGTATACATAGCCCCCATCCCTGCCATGCTGGGGTTGCAAAGCTGTAGCCACCCTACCACAGTAAGCCTGGTATGTTGAATAGATCCTAGTTACAGCAAAAAAACAAACCCTGATTCTCAACCCTAGATGACCACACCAGTTCCCTCACCCCTTAAAGTCACAGGGCAGAAAGAACCAGTGGGACAACAGTAGGCTGAGCCAAAATTAAGAAATTTGAAGGACTGCTAAAGAGGCAGATCAATTTCAGGTTTCTAGGCAAATGTAATCCATTTAGAAGGAAGTGATTTAAGGACACCCCAGACCAAGACATCCTGCGTTCCCAAACATCTTCTGGTTGGGGCAAGAATGAATCTTTATTGTTTTACACTCTAGAAAGTAGTATTTGCAGGCTTACCATAATCATGACTCAAAGGTTGATCCAAACATGCCATAGAACCATCCTGCCTCCTGCAGGATAAAGTCTGTGGAGGCTTGGCCTTCACTCTTAGAATCTCAGCTGCTTTCACTGCTCTTCAAGAAATCTCTCTTAGCCTCTTTTGGTAATTTACCTAATGTTTTTACAAATCTCAAGTCAGAAATCTTTCCTGGGACAAAGTGATTCCTCCATCCCCAGACTCCAGAGGAAAACAGACTTCACTCGATTCTAGGTAGCCTCTACTACTTGTCTGTAAAATGTGGCTACTGAGAGGATTAAACATGAACACATGTGACGCACTTAGCCTATACTATTTGGCAGTATTAGATAGTATGAGCTGGTACTGGTCAGAGCCCATGCTGCTGGTTAGAAGGCGAACAAGCCTATTAAAAAGATGACACACTTCTTGCAAAATATGATTCTGGCCTGACACAGAATCATAAAGGGTAACAATTATTACCGTATTTGTTATAAGATACTGCATTCTGGATCTTTCAAAGAAATAAAAATGTAGCTGTAGATACTGTTCACAGTTAAAAGCTATCTCAGTCTAGCCCCCAGAATGGTCTGAACTAGCCTTGAAGGTCACATTTCAGTGTGGAATACCTCTAGCTTTGTTAACGTCTATATTTCTGAATTACACGTCCTACCAAGGTCAGAGCAGGCCCCAGATATAAGCCAGTTTCGATTAACCACTCCAGAGCTTATTATTCAGGGCAGCCCCAGTGGTCCTAGGGTTTGGTGTGTAACAAATAAAAAATAAAGGCGAAAACGATCTTCAATTAAGCATCAGCTGTCTTATTAATTGAGCGCTCACTACATTACAGGAACAAAATTCCTCCCATTTCTACACTGAACTCGAAGAGAAATCTAAAAAAATATGGACGGGGAAAGAGTAGGGCAAAACATCAGAACTTGCCTTCATGACCAACTTCTATATGAGAAAGGGAGCCGAGACACCATTCGATGGGAAGATGCAGTTTCTGGACGTGTTCGTACGCAAGGGTTCAAAGCGACGTACACCTGTCACACGCCCCTTCTGAAAAGGAATTTCTAGGACCCACTTTTAAGGAGGAATATGTTCTTTGAGATTGTATGACCTATCCACTGTACGACCGCAATCTCACCTCGACAGTCATGAATACTAAAGCCAAATATTAATTAGATCGTCTTCCAAGGAGTAAGCTGAAGCTGAGACAAATAGCTGTTTTGAAAATCAAAAATGGGCTTGGGCACCCACGCTGGCTTAGCTTGCAATCACAGCACTGGGTTCCATCAGGGAAATTAAGGCTAGGACAGATAATGGCTCTTTTTTTTTTTTTTGCTTTTTTAAGAAAAAAAGTACCGCGAGAGCTTTCTGTGCGTTCCCGTCCGCCGGTCCCGGTCCCCAGCACGCTGGGAAGGCAGCCCGCCCGGCAAGCAGGCAGGGCTAGCTGGAGGAGGGTGGAAGTAGTTAGGTCACCGACCTGAGGAGTTCAGATCGTTGGGTCGGCTCTCGGCCTCGGAGCTCTGCTCACTGCCCATGGTGCCGGCAGCGGTGGCAGCGGAGGAACGATGGAACGGGCGGCGACCGCTCAGGCGGAGGGGCGACAGAGCAGGGACCGGGGGACCAAGATGCGGAGGCTACACCGGCTGCGATGTGGGGATAGCGCGCCCAGCCCACGCGTGGGCGCGGACGGTGGGGACGGAGAGGCCCTATTTGGGGAAAGGCTTGCCGGGAGGAGCCGCGGGAATGCACGCCGCTCGCCCGCCCGCCTTCTTTGGGGAAACCAAAGGCAAGGAGGCGGGTGAACGCCTGGAACCAGCCACGCCTGCAACCAGCGGGCGGCGCCGCAATCACTCACTCGCTCAGGGGCCGCAGGTTCGTTCCTTCCGAGACGCGGATTGGCAGCGACGGCTGCGAACGGCGGTCAGTTCCGGGTTAGAGTGCCCCACCCCCTGCCCGAGGGGGCAGGACAGCGGGCGCAGCCTTAAAGGGCCAGATCGCCTCAAAAGCAGAGCCGCTCCTAAGATTGAGTCGGTTCCTATGGTAGTGATGCGATTCACCTTTAGGCATCATCTACACGCTAGGCACGTTACCTCTATAGTTAGAAATTTACTAATAGGTTTTTGAGGGGTTTGTTTTTGCCTGTGTTTGGGTTTGCTTTTTTTTTTAAAATGTATTCTCTTTTTCATTTTTAAAAATGACATTTGTTTATGTTTATTTTTGGTTGTACTGGATCTTCCTTGCTGCGGAGGGCTTTCTCCAGTTGCGTGGTACAGCGGCTACTCTTTACTTAGGTGCCTGAGCTTCTCATTGCGGTGGCTTCTCTTGTTGTACAGCTGAAGCCCTAAATCACTTGTTCAGTAGTTGTGGTGCATGGGCTCAGTTGTCCTACAACATGCAGGATCTTCCCAGACCAGGGATTGAACCCCTGTCCCCTCTCATTGACTGGCAGATTCTTTACCACTAAACCACTGTGCTATGCTTAGTTACTCAGTCCTGGTCGACTCTTTGCGACCCCATGGACTGTAACACACCAGGCTTCTCTTTTCATGGGGAATCTCCAAGCAAGAATACTGGAATGGGTTGCCATGCCCTCCTCCAGGGGATCTTCCCAACCCATTGATCCAGCCTAGGTTTCCTGCATTGCAGGCGGATTCTTTACCATCAAAAGGGAAGCCCTTTTGATATTTTTAAAAATTGAGATGTAATTGGCATATAACATTATATTAGTTTCAGATGTACAACAGTATGACTTGATATTTGCATATGTATGCTGCAAAATTTTAAATCCTCTTTTACAGATGGAAAAAGGGAGGTGCTGGATAGACTTAGGTTTGAAATCCACAACATCAAACACAAAGTTCTTATTGTAGTTCCAAAAGCTGGGAGTTTGGTGAGTGGCAACCATACAAAAAACCATACTAGATGGTGTAGGAAGGAGCTGGAAATGAGAGAAGAATGAATAGAAAATGCTGATTCTTGTGTTAGGGTGTTTGTGCATCTTCAAAAGAAAGTGGATGCCCCAAGTCTACTTTCTGGGAACCTTGACAGTTACCCACAGGCATTCTGAAAGTAGAAAAGGCAAGAGGGAAGTAGAGATAATGTGTAACAGAGACAGGTCAAGGATGTCAAGGTAGTAATGCTTTCCCATTCAGGAGTTGGGTGGCTATGGCATTTTCAGAACTTTAGAGCTCATGTTGTTTCACAAAATTTTCAGCTAATGCCCTGAGTTTTCAAATAAACTATGATTTCATAATATATGTATATAATATATATATATATATATTTACAAATTGAGCCAAAATGTTATTTTTTTAATTTTTAAAAAGTTTTTATTTTATATTGGTGTATAAGCCAATTGGGCTTCCCAGGTGGCGCAAGTGGTAAAGAAGCCGCCTGCCAATGCAGAAGACATAAAAACTGCGGGTTTGATCCCTGGGTTGGGAAGATCCCCTGAAGGAGGGGCATGGCAGCCCACTCCAGTATTCTTGCCTGGAGAATCCCATGGACAGAGATGCCTGGTGGGCCATAGTTCATAGGGTTGCAAAGACTCGGACACAAGTGAAATGACTTAGCATTCATAAGCTGATTAACAATGTTTGTAATAGTTTCAGATGGGGAAAAGGGGAAGGCGTGTATAGGCTAAACACAGGATTTGGGGGGCAGTGAAAATACTCTGTATGAAAACTGTAATGGTGGATACATATCATTATGTATTTGTCCAAGCCTACAGAATGTACAACACTAGGAATGAACCTAGGTCAACTAGAGACTTGGAAGGATTTTGGTGGGTGAGTATAGTTTCATTGTATGCACATGTGTGAGCTCCATTGCACGGTTGTGTCTGACTCTTTGCAGCCCCATGGACCATAGTTCACCAGGCTTCTCTGTCTATGGGATTTTTCAGGCAAGAATACTGGAGTGGGTTACCATTTCCTACTCCAGGGGATCTTCTCAACCCAGGGATCGAACCTGTGTCTCTTGCATCTCCTGCATTGGCAAGTGGATTCTTTACAGAGCCACCCGGGAAACCTGTGTAACAAATATACCTCTCTTCTGCAGGATGTTGGTAATAGAGCAGGCTATGCACAGATCGGGGCGGGGCCCATGGGAAATCTCTGTACCTTCTTCTCAATTTTGCTGTGAACCTGAAGGTGCTCTCTTCATACTGTTCACAGTGTTCTTATTTTCTTGGGCTCCAAAATCACTGCAGATGGTGACTGCAGCCATGAAATTAAAAGATGCTTGCTGCTTGTAAGAAAAGCTATGACAAACTTCTACAGCATATTAAAAAGCAGAGACATTACTTTGCTGACAAATGTCCATATAGTCAAAGCTATGGTTTTCCAGTAGTCATATATGGATATGAGAGTTGGAACATAAAGAAGGCTGAGCACCAAAGAACTGATTCTTTTGAACTGTGGTGTTGGAGAAGACTCTTGAGAGTCCCTTGGACTGCAAGGAGATCAAACCAGTCAATCCTAAAGGAAATTAATCCTGAATATTCATTGGAAGGACTGATGCTGAAGCTGAAGCTCTAATACTTTGGCCACCTGATGCGGAGAGCCGACTCATTGGAATAGACTCTGATGCTGGAAAAGGTTGAGGGCAGAAGGAGAAGAGAAGAGAAGAAGGACAGAGGTGGTTGGATGGCATCACTGACTCAATGGACATGAGTTTGAGCAAGCTCCAGGAGATGGTGAAGGACAGGGAAGCCTGGCATGCTGCAGTCCATGGGGTCACAAAGAGTCCAACATGAGTAAGCAACCAAACAACAAGGGTGCTCTTAAAAAACAAAGTCAACAATTTTTGAACTTATGCACCTCCTCCCAGAAATCCAGATTAGACGTCCCCCTCATGAGCTCCCTTAGCTAGCTTTTTCTAATATAACATGTAGTCTTTACACAATCACTAATTTACCTGTGTTTCTCCCCACTGAACTATAACTGAACTATAAGGATGTATTTCTCCCCACTAAACTATGACTGAAATACAAGGATCTTGAAGGCAGGTGTGTAGCCCAGCAGGACCCACTGGGGCCTTCCCAGGACAGGCCCCTCCTCGACATCCTCTGTGGTAGTTCAGGCATATTTCATGAGGTTTTCAGATGCTAAAAACCACCGCCAACTTCTTCCAAATGGAAGAAATTAACTACTTGATGATAGTAAGCAAATAGCTCTTAATCCTTTTGGCCTTAAGTATTGATAATGTTACCTCACCATCAACCAATCAGAGAAATATGCCCAAATGATCACACACCCTGGGACCCTCCGTCACCTGGCCTTTAAAAATGCTTTGCTGAAATCCTTTGGGGAATTAGGGAATTTGGGGGGGTGGGGCACAAGCCACCTGTTTTCCTAGCATGGCCCTGCCGTACACCTTTCTCTGCTCCACACTCCAAACTCTGACATTTTGTTTTGTTTGATCTCACTGTGCGTTGGGCACATGAACGTGTGTTTGTTAACAGTGTATTATTGGTCTTTAATTTCCCAGTGCAGGTGCTTAATGTATATTTTCTGACTAAAGTACCTTAAAAAAAATCTGCCTCTACATAAATGGAGAGGTACTGTATTGGCAGAAGAGGATTAAGACTCTCTTCATATACAGTGGCATATTGTATATGTGCGTCAGTCGCTCAGTCGTGTCCAGCTCTTTGTGACCCCATGGACTCTCGCCAGGCTTCTCTGTCGATGGAATTCTCCAGACCAGAATACTGGAGAGGGTTGCCATTCTCTTCTCTGGGGGATCTTCCGAATCCAAGGATCGAACCTGGGTCTCCTGCATTGCAGGCAGATTCTTTACCATATGAGCCACCAGGAAGCCATTACTCAGCCATAAAAAGGAACAAAACTGTTCCTTATAGAGACCTAGATGGCCCTAGAGACTGTCATACAGAGTGAAGTAAGTCAGAAAGAGAAAAACATCATATGTTATTGCATATATATGAAATCTAGGAAAATAGTATGGTGGTTTAGTTGCTAAATTGTGTCCAACCCTTGCGAAGCCATGGACTGTAGCCTGTCAGGCTTCTCTGTCCATGGGATTCTCCAGGCAAAAATACTGGAGTGGCCATTTCCTTCTCCAGGGGCTTCCTGACCCGGGAATCGAACTCAGTTCTCCTGATCTCATTTACAGGGCAGGAATAGACACAGACATGGAGAACAAATGTATGGACACCAAGGCTGGAGGAAAGGGTGGGATAAACTGGGAGATGGGGGTTGACACATTTAAACTATTGTGTGTGTGTCTGTTGCTCAGTCATGTCTGACTCTTTGTGACCCCATGGACTGTAGCTCTCCAGGCTCCTCTGTCCATGGATTTCTCTAGGCAAGAATTCTGAAGTGGGTTGCCATTCCCTTGTCCACACTGTTGATGTATTAAATAGATAACTAACGAGAACCTACTATATAGCTCAGGGAACACTACTCATGCTCTGTGATGAGTGAATGGGAAGGAAATCCAAATCCAAGGG